TATCTATCTATCTATCTATCTTCTTATCTTATCTTATCTAATCTAATCTTATCTAATCTAACCTATCTATCAATTTATCTTTCTATCTTTCTGCAGTTCAACAGCCACAAAGTACCGCACCTGCCACGAAATCTGCACTTCAAGGTCCACAAAGGACAAAGTACTGCACCTGCCACGAAATCTGCACTTCAAGGTCCACAAAGTCTTGCGCCTGCCACAAAATCTGCACTCCAAGCGCCACAAAGTACTACACCTGCCACGAAATCTGCACTTCAAGGCCACAAAAAGTCCTGCGCCTGCCACAAACTCTGCACTCCAAGGCCCACAAAGTCCTGCACCGCAATGCACCCATTAGAAATAGATTGGTCCACCACATCTTTTTCCTGAGGAGATTCCCATCCAGGCACCTGCCGATGCTGCTACACCCATTCCAAACACTTCTCTGCTCTGAGCGCTCTGACAACGCCATGTAGGGCCTAACTTTGTGTGAACGCCGTGACTACTGCTACTGCTACCACTACTACTCCTACTACTCCTCCTCCTGCTGCTGCTGCGCTGCTGCTGGTGCTACTGCTACTGCTACTGCTACTACTACTACTACTACTACTACTAGCCCAACCACCCTCAGTGGGCCAGAATATTTTTTTATTGATTCCCTTTTTATTTTTTTATTGATCCCCGTTGAATATTTTTTTTTGATTCTATTTTTATTTTTTTTTGATCCCTTACCCCTCACATCGCTACTAGGAGCAAGGAGCCCACAGTAGCTTCCTTGCTCCCAGTAGTAAGGCCAGGAGCCCCTAGTAGCGTCCTTTGCTCCTAGTAGCGATGCCAGGAGCCCCTAGGTATCAGAAAGGTTTTGACTTACTGCCCTGAGTGAGATCGCGGCGTGGGAAGAGTGGGAGCGGAATGACGGGCAAGCCCTGTCTTTCTACAGGGCCTCAAAGACGCGCCAGAAGAAGCGCAAAGTGCCATAGACAGCTTAATCGCTGCAGGCTGAGTGGTGGGGGTGACAGTGAGGGAACTGCAGGATCTGCCGAGCTCCCCGCCGAGAGAGGTGGGGGAAGAAAGATCGAAGAACGGGCAAACGAGGTGGCGCTTGAAGCTGGCCAGAAGGAGAAGGGGCAGATCACAGAGTCAGTGGACTCGGGATTTACTTGCCAACTAGACATCGGTTTTGCAAACGGAGCGAGATTGCCTCTTGGCATACCAAGGGGCCACGCAGTTTGTCAAGCACCTTCAACGCAACAAAAGTAACCACGGCATTCCCCGATTCCATTGGCGGACATCTTCCAGTTTACAGTAACAATGCTGCCCAGACGGACATCATCAACTGCGCACCGAATTGCACCAACATATTGTCATCTCTGCTCTACAGAAGGGTTTGGAAAAACGAACAGTCTGGTTGGTCGTTTCTTCCAGGAAAACCTGAACAAAACAATCCGGAACAAAAGCCTCTGAAACCTCTTCAGACTATCGATTCCACGCTATAATCGCTACACCAATTGCTCCGCACACGTCAAATACGTTCAATGTTTCTTTCGAATAATAAGGCTTTAAGGAACCTAATAGTGTAGCGATGGCCTCCAACCTACTTGCCATGGCCTCCAATCTAAGAGCGATGGCCTCCAACCTAGAAGAATTCTTAATAGTCAAACCGCGACTTCAAGCCCACCTTTCCTTGACGCCACTGCCTGGCATCCAGACCCAATGCATGGAATTCAGAAGGTGTCACAGAGGAAGCACTTCTTTAGACAACTTTTGAATTCAGAACACAAAAGAACACATTAGGATGAAACAAGGAAAAAGGAAGGTAAGGCCTCCTTAAAGAGGGATTCTAGACATCTCTTTCATCCTTCTTTCATCTCGTTTTCTGCTTTCTGGTTCTGTCCATCCATCTGCCAGTGGAGAAGCGTGGCTGTGTGTGAAAAGAAATTGATTGTTGATAGCGGCGAACGTCTTAGCGAGCAGACCCACTTAAAACCACCGACACAGTGGGTGTCCTAATTAGGGTGTCCCAATGTTTGCTTTCAAAGCCGGGCAGATTCCAGAATGCAGGTTCCAATGCCAATCGGTTTCAAGAATGATACAGTACGATATAAGGGGTATGAAGACTCGTCAGGTGCTAAGGCTCGGGGAAAACCGATTGGTTACAGATGTTGCTCGATGGAGGTGCGCGATGGGAGCGTGTCGGCATGGGATTCCATCGCTTTGCGCAAAGAGAAGCGACTTGGCAGATGAAAGGTGACAAAATGGTGACACAGAAAAGTTTCTTAGGAGTTTGGAGGCCATCGCTACTAGGGTGGAGGCCATCGCTAATTACTAAGTTTGGAGGCCATCGCTATTAGTTTCCCTAAAAATCTAGGAACCACATGAATAGTGCGACCGTGAGCTTTCCTGCATCCGGAGCCTATATAGTAGCTACATCTTATATGCTTAAGCTTTACCAGCTACCATATGCTACCATTCCAGTGGCCTACATTCCACCCGGTTCCTTGACGTTCTGAAGCGCCAAAAGAGTCCTTGCGTGGTCACACAACCGTGTTTTGGTGCTTCCTTCGGCCTTTCAAGCGGTCCGACGAGGTTTTCCGGTTATTTCGAATGCATGCTGGAACTCTGGACATCGGGGAAGCTGACACTTCGAGAGAAGTTGCTTGGACAAGAAAACAATTTAATTTCTGGTTCCTAATAGCTTCTTGCTCCTAGTAGCGATGCCAGGAGCCCCTAGTAGCTTCATTTTGACACGAAGTGGAAACTGGAAGTCTAAGACTTGCTGCAGGTCTCATGTGCTCCAATTCTTGATCAACTGCTTCCAAAGTTTGGAGCAAGAGTTCGTTCGTGATTGCTGCCTCAGGCCAGGGGAATCGTACAAACCTGAAACGAAAGGCATTCTGTTCATTCATCTATACAAGTTGTATACAACTTCAGCTTTTCCAAGAATCTAGGTTAGAACATGCACACTCCATTTCTAGAAAAAACAAGGACGCTACTAGGGGCGCTCCTGGCCTTACTACTAGGAACAAAGGTTGGACCAAAGGGGCGATGCAAAGTCCATTTCTAGCTTCAAAGACCGTTCCTAGTAGCGTCCTTGCTCCTAGTAGCGATGCCAGGAGCCCCGTTCGTAGCTTCTTGTTCCTAGTAGCAAAGGGGCGATGCTGGAAGTTTTGCTTGAACAGATATTTGTGTTTGACAGTGCTGCCAGGCTGACTGGTTTGCAGTCCTGGTTCCATCTCAATGACCTGCATAGAGAGTGCCTGGGAATTGGACATTGGAGAGTGCAGTTCTTCCTTGTGGTCCACCTGTTGCCTTTGGGTAAACCACTTCCATGCGAGGAAGCTCCTTTCCATCAACAAGAAGCTCCCTGCTTTTTGGAAGAAGGTCCAGAAGAAGTATGCGACTCTGCCAAGTTGGGACGGGCCTGACATGAGTCTTGCACCGCAGGTTTAGGTCGGTTTCGGGTTTAGGCAGATTTGTTTTGAAGTCACGCTTGAAGTTTGACACTAACAGCAGCAAGAAAAGCAATACACACACCGATAGACATGATTGGCCGCCAGATGTCGAGAGAAACACTAGGAACAAGTGCCTTACTAGTAGTAACTAAGAAGCTAGTAGAAACAAGTGCCACGCTACTAGGAACACGTGCCTTATTAGTGGCTCCTAGTAACTTTCGAAATCGTTTTTTGGATCGGACACGAAGGACTTTCCGAAGGACTCCGGTTGTAATGGTCCTTTCTGTTCGGCACGCGTTTTGGTTTCCAATGCTGAGGCTGATCCAAAAACGCCCAACTCTCAGACAAGAAATCAAAAGATGATTCGGTAAGAAAAAGGAAACATGGCAAAACAAAGGGCAAATCAAACAACATAAGTTAAGGCAAAACAAAGGGTAAAGTGACTTGATTTGTCTCTTTTTGTGTCACTTGAGAGTGTGTCGACCCTTCTACAGGTGTCAAGTGCGTTTTTTTGTTTATTCTCATCAAAAAACGGTTTCTGTATTCTTTCTTTTTCTATATTCTTCTTCTTCTTCTTCTTCTTCTCGTCTGTTCTTCGAAGGTCTCAAGCAAAGCATGAACGGAACTTCATGGCCGAGCTGCTCGACGAGTTCTTGGCTTCGCTGGAAGCCTTTGGAGATCGACAGCTCAGCGTGGAGGACGACAAAAGGCTTTTGTATAATTAAAAACAAACAAACGAGCTGCTTTTAAGTGCATTCTTTTACAGACTTCTTGTTTTTTATATATTTTTTTCATAGAACTTTCTTAGACCATGTGAAAAACATTGAATCTTCGGAGCTTTGGTGTAAAGCTTCAAGTTGGGTTTGGTCGTTTCCTTCATTCCTTCTCTCCTATCTCTCTTGCCTGTATTGATACTTTTGCCGCTGGTTAGCAAACTTTCTGTTTCCATGGATGGCTTGTTCCCTTTCAGGGTTTACCTTGGATCACTACCGCATAATTATGTTATGTTCGAAGGAGCTTTCGTACTTGGAGCGACACTGGGCGCAGCAGTGGGGGTTGGAAGTTGGTCTGCTGCAGCAAGAGGATCTATCAGCAATGATGTGATTTTATGCCACCAGTACAATTCGTTTGCACTCACTCAGGAGAAATGGGTTCAAAAAGGAATCCAACATAAGGATCTCAATGTTGACAAATGCTCCTTGTGAACCAGTGTGTTTTTCCCGCCAAATTGTCGACGTGTTCAATCATGGTTTAGGGAGCTGGCCCCGGGGGCAACCCATACGTTTCTCAGACGTCCCATTCTCTGCGGCAGAGCTTCTGCCACGTCGTTTCTTTGGCTTGAACGGGTCCCAAAAGTAGGTTGAAGACACTGGACCAAAGAGCCAAGCAAAGGAAGGACAGCCGATGTGCATTTGTTTGTTTTAGACCGTCAATGGGGCAACAAGCATTCTCCCAGAAGAATCTCTTGACAAGACGAACTCTAGAAACCGCTTCGATCTGCGCTGCTGGGCCCTACATCTGCATCTAAAGACACAATAGATAATAGATATAGTATCCTATTATGCGCACATGTAGTTAAATGAATCTTTAGCTCTTTTGTAGGCTGGAGGCCATCGCTATCAGATTGGAGGCCATCGCTAGTAGTTAAGTGTCCCTAAACATCTTTGAGCCAAATGAATAGTACGAGCGCTTCTTCAAGGAAGTTCCCTGTTGCCCTCACGTGGGGGGAGCTTCCTTGAAGAAGCGTGAGCTGTCCTGCGTCCTAGCCAGTACCAGGTCACCAGGTTACCTAGTAGTTTGTTTAGCCCTTACTCAATTAAGTATGCGCCTACTTAATTAAGCAAGGGCGAGGGTAAGCATAGTATGTGTCGCAAGTTTCCAGAAGGAACTCAAGTTTTTTGCTTTAATGCTAGTGAGCTAGTCTAAGCTTCCCATATCCCGAGCTTCTATCCCTGCCCCGCACTACAGTCATTCAATCTCCCTCAACTTTCTGTCTATGAAGCTGGTCTTGTCACCCTTCTGTGCAGTCCCACCTGTCCTTGTGGCTTTCGCTTTTGAGGTGTTTCCTCCCTGTGAACTTTTGCTTTATGGTGCTTTCATCTTTCTTTCTTTGAACTTTTAGACTTCTGTTTCCAATTTGTATCTCTCCCTTTCTTCATCTTTCTTCGGTGTCTCATTTCAGGCTCATTGATTGAGATGAGCACTGAGAGGAGGTGTCCATTTTTGTGCGGTATGTGCGCAGGGCGGTGCATCACTTATGATCATCCAACAGTTAATCTCCAGGCCCCAAGGTGGAAGTTTCAATCACGAATCATATCTTAAACATCTTAAACACATCTTAAACATATCCGTGGAACAAATTATCCACATATATTTTCATGTTGTCAAGTGAGTGCCGGACAGCATTGCAAAGGCAAATGGCCACGGCTTGGCATTTCTGAAATACTGTCCAGCTGCTGGTTAAATCCTTTTTGTCCTTGCAAGCTCATAACAGAACTAGAATGTTCTCGAGCACACACAATTAGTATTTGAAACACATTTTCACAGTTCAAACTCTGGCACCGCTGCATTACCATGCGTTCGTCTCTCAGACACCCCGCAGCCTGCGCCACTACTATTGCGCAGACCTGCTTGCGTATGTACTCTGCATCTTTTCACAACTCGGAACACCAAAGAATTCTGCATAGGTTCTAGTAGCCTCTTGCTCCTAGTAGCGATGCCAGGAGCCCCTAGTGGCTTCTTCGATAGATCACTTTGTGTGCATTGGAATTTTGAATTCGGGAATGGATGTCATTAAGTGATACTGTGAATGTCCGCCATGTCGAACACATGGGACAAATGAACTTCTTTGAATCCCACAGATGTGCAGAACTCGCGCAAGGCAAGATTGTACAAACTAAAAATTAATCATGGAGCAAGAACGCTACTAGGGGCTCCTGGCCATACTACTAGGAGCAAGAAGCTACTAGAACCAATTCAGAATTCTTTGGTGTTCAACATAACTCTCTGGCTGATCTAGTTGATCATATGCCGAGGTTTGAGAAGTCGCTACTAGAAACAAAGGGCATCGCTATTTGTAACAAGGGCATTGCTACTAGTAGCATTCTTGCCACTACAGCATGTGGCAACTGTCAGTGAACCAACGAATCACAGTCAGAAGGTCAAAGGTCAAATGGCTATCTGACAGTGAGAGAAGAGGAAACAGAAGAGGGCAGTCTTCCGAGTTGGAGCTTTAGCGGGTCGGACGTCTTGAAGGGAGTTGACCACATTGCGTTGCTGGCCGCAAGCTTGCCACGGCTTTTCGTGCTTTCGTGCCACTGACTTTGCATGAAGCGGAGGAAGTTCCGAGGAAGGAAAGAAGTCATACGAACGTCATCTTTGACTTGCCAGTGCTATCCGTCATTCCACACTTGGTAGGATCTCACTGTGGCCGCCACCTCCATCTTGCCGATTGAAAGGTGCAAATATATGCGTCGGAAGTATAGGCAAGAGCCGTATATCAAAGAGGCCCTTGCTTATAAAGTTTCCTTTTTCCTAAAGGGGCAAACGGGGCCCTTTTCTTCTTTTCTGTCTCAAGCAGGCCGGCTTGAAGGAGGACATGCTGTGCTCTGTAAACTGTAGACTGCAAGATCAAACGTTTGGTAGGTCCAAGCTTACTTTTCAAAGGAATGGATAACCATTGCTAATTAGGTTGGAGGCCATCGCTACTAGATCCTGGTTGACCAAGGATGCATTGAGCTCATGGTCGACTTGCTAGACCAATTGCCAACTCGACGTTTCTTCCGGCCTCTTCTTGTGGACAAACACATTGTTGCAGCGCGGCAGCAAACGAACAGGCTTTACAATGAAAAAGACACAACATCAAAACATTTCATTAAACACAAAGAAGGTGCTTGGACCCTTTCAAAAGGCCCTTCTCGACCTCCTTTATTCCTTTTCATTTCAGCGCTGTGTCACAGCGTGTCCTCGGCATTGTTGGTACAAGTCTACGAGTTTGTCACAGTATTTGCGTGAAATTGTGAAGTTGTTTAAACAGCGAAAGCCAGTTGTGTTCACAATCAGTGGACTCAGAGCGTTAATTTGCATGGTCTGGGCCGGTGAGCTTTACAACCTCAGCTTCGTGACAAACAGCATGCAATTTTTGGTGATAACTTGGAAGTGTGCAAGGGAACTTGTGTAATGCTACAATTGCAATACTTTGTTGAAGGGTTTTTGACGCAAGCGTAGATTGGGTGATTCTAGTCAGTTTGGCAATGTATGTCAAACATGTCCCTTAGATTTTGGCAAATTTGTGTCTTGTAACTTGTAATTAGGAGTCTTGTATGTCTAGGTACGGTGCAAACGCTCGAAAGTGGCGCAGCTTCCGGAGGTTTGGGGCATGTCTTAGCATGTTTTGAGCAATGCTATTAGGTCGCTTCCAACCTACTAGCCTCCAACCTAATAGCAATGACCGCCAACCTAATAGCTACCTCTTCTACTAGCTACCTAGCTGCCTATCCCCCCCCCGGTGGGCTAAAACAAAGAACGAACAGACAAATTATGCAAAACAATAGACATAGAGAAAGAGTAGAAACGAACAGAACAGATTAACATTTAAACACAATGCTTTAATTGCTTCACTTCAATCCGTCGTTTGAATGGGTCTGTAAAACCGTTTCTGAGATGTTTGGGCCTTTTGGGGCTGGGTGCTGTTGCTGCCCTTGTTCTGTGAGGCCAGGCTTCTCAATCAGCTCTTGGGGATCCTCAGGCGCACACTTGATGAAACAAAGATTAAAAGCATACAAGAAGCTATTAGTAACAAGTGCCTTACTAGTAGTAACAAGAAGCTAGTAGTTACTTTATACAGCTGTTCTAGCTGTTCTGTATTCTTTAAATTCCTTTCTTTTTTTTGTCAGTTTTTCATTTCTTCTTTCGAGCTCTAATTTAGATATCTTTTCTCAAGATGTGCAACTTTGGTTTCGGTGTGAATTCCAGATACTACGAGAACTTCGAGATAGATGACACGACTGGCAAACCTTTGACTAGACGCGAAGTCACTGATCTTCACTATGACCGCTTGCAGCTCTTGCAAAGAGCTCCTTGAATGATGAAGATGCGGAGCGATTTTTGCATTCTGTCCCAAATCACAAGAAGGACATCTTGGCTTGGTCTTGGAACTGTTGATTCTGAGGTATGCTTCCAGGAATTTCCTGAGAATCCAAGCCTCAAGCAGATCATGCTGATCAACGTTGCAAACCTTGATACAAGGTGATCTTGGAAAGATACATTTTTCTTTTCATATAACTTTAAAGTTCAAAAAGTTAAGTCTAACAAGACGAAAGAGCTTTCTTGGGAATCGTTTCACTGGGAATCGTTTCACCTGTAGTAACAAGAAGCTTTCTAGTATGTCTTCGAAGCTTCTTAGTAAGAAAGTTAGGTTGGAGGCTATTGCTAGTAAGAATGTGGCAGAAATCCGAAGATCTAAGCACGAAGCCTAGAGACAACAAGAACTAGAAAGCTTCTTGTTACGAAACGATTCCCAAGGAAGCTTCTTTGCTCCTAGTAAGGCCAGGAGCCCCGTTCGTAGCGTCCTTGTTACTAGTAAGGCACTTGTTAGTAGTAGCGATGCACTTGTTCCTAGTAGCTTCTTGCTCCGTTCGTAGCAGATTTAAAAGAAGAGGAGGAGACCGAAACAAAAGCCAACAGGAGGACACCCCAAACAGGATGCGCTGTTTGACCTCAGATCCCCTTATGGCACTGTCGGAAAGAGTCGTTGTCCTGTCATAGGCTTGTTCTTTACTTTTGACTGTAGCTCAGAGTAGTTAAGTCCATCTCCAAGGGAAAACAAACGGTCCATAAAGGAAAACAACTATACCATACCAGCATAGACCCAAAACAGTTTCAACAGCAAGAGTTGTGATGGTTGTGGTTGTTGTTGTTGCTTTGGTGGGTGCGGACACGAGAGAACAACAAAGGGACCAGACAAAGAGACGAGGACAACTACTGGAGGCAGCCTCTCAAACGCAGCCAAGCTGGACCGAAGAGGGACACCACGAAGGCAACTCACAACTTCTTTTTCCCCAACCGGAAGGCCATCGCTAGTAGGTTGGAGGCCATCAGGAAGAACGAAAGAAAGAAAGAACCGTTCTGGTTTCTAGCAGTCAGGGGTGGTTAAGGCCAACGTCAATCTTAAGATGGGGTGGAGAAACAACACATTACACGAGATATTCCTTTTTGTGGCAATGTGAGTGTCCTGACCGCATTTTTTCGGGTGTTTTGCTGCACAATCCAGTCCCAACGGTGCTGACCTTGTTCTCATCTGGGTTGCGATGAGCTGAGACTTTGAAGGATTATGATACATAACCTCCAACCTAATAGCGATGGCCTGATGGCCTCCAATCTATAAGCGATGGCCTCCAACCAAAAAGGAACGGCCTCCAATCTCAAAGAGGGCACAGGTGTCACAGGTTTGCAAATCATATTGCAACATCATCTCAACAGTCAGTCGTTCTTGGAGAAATCACTCTCAAAACGTCAAAGGACGCCTCCTAGCCATCGCTAGTAGGCCATCGCTACTAGGTTGGAGGCGATCCTGTCAGCTTGTCCATTGTAGCAACCGCCCACTGGAGTTTACCCTCGTTGTTGCATGTTCTGTTTGCTTTGTTTACTTTTTGACATTTTAGAGGTGCCTTTATGAAAACAGAAAGGATACAAGAACGTGAACATCAGTGTCAAGTGTTCTTCAAAGATGGTGCAGGGAAGCACTGCTGGAGAACTTCACCGTGCTGCCATTGGAGGTCCTCAAAGTGCTTTGCGCGAAGGTTTGCTATTTGGATGTGCCAACCCAAGAAAGCTTCAGAGAACACTTCAGAGTGATTCTGACACTTAAACAAGGACACAGCACAGAACGTCACAAAGCGAATAGCAGTTGGAAGAATATTTGGAGAGTGTTTTAACTTTGTCCGTTGCTTTTGGCCGCCCCTTGTTTGTGGTCAGAGGAAATCCTGTGTCTTGTCTTGATGTCTGGTGGCAGCCAAGGTCAGCAAAGATTCCACACTTGTTGCGATGGAACAGAAGGCAAGCGCTGTTCAAACATTTTGTTCAACCGCTACTAGGGGCTCCTGGCCTTACTAGGAGCAAGGACGCTACTAGGGCTCCTGGCATCGCTGTTCAAACGAAGCGATTCACAAAGAGCCGCTTTGAGGCTTTACAAACACTTGACGTGCAGGTTCTTGAGGCAATAGCGGCGCAGGAACGATTGGAAGCTGAGAAAGAGGAGCCAAAGGAACCCAAAAAGAAGAAGCGAAAGAAGAAAGTACCGGGCTCACAACGTTGATAGTCCATTCATACAAGGTTGGAGGCCATCGCTTCTAGTTTGGAGGCCGTCGCTATTAGAGGGTACATTTAATACGAAGATCCCGCACAGGCGAGGAGCTGATCCAAACCCATAGTAGCTATAGGATGCCTATAGTATCAAGTCATGGACATGGCCATAGACCTGCGCATGCATGAAACCAGCCGAACCATTGCAACCAGCACTCCTCGACACCTGCCCGAACCTGCCCATCCAATTGAGTAACAAGAAGCTATTAGAAACAAGTGCCACGCTAGTAGTAACAAGTGCCTTACTAGTAGTAACAA